TGTGCGTGCCTCAGACTCCCTCTGCAGGGTCTGCTCGCCACTTTCTTAAAGTCGTGTTTGTGACTGCGGCGTTTCTGCGTCCTCACAGCTGCAGACAGATCTCCTGCTCTCAGAGGAAGCACATCTAAACACTAACTCTGTGTTTTCAGGCTTCCTGACACTCATTGTGTTTCTCTTTGTCCAAACTGTCAAAAAAACAGGAGAAAGTTTTTGTCTTTTTTTTTTAGGGAGTTTCCTGGAAACTTGCATCTTGCTGCTCCCTGCAGAATCTGTCCCGTCATTTTCAGGAAGCTGAAGGAGAAAAAGGAGCAGCTGTCTCCTCCTAAAAAAAAAAAAAAAAAATCAAATGTCGTGGTTCAGTTTTAACTCCAGCTGGACCAGAAACAGAAACATCTTGTTTCTGAGGCACGGTGAAAAGTTTATTTTTTCTGAGATAAACTTGATAGAATTTATGACAGAGCGCATGATTTAAAGTGATGTTTGGTCAGAGAGTGAAGTAAATGGTTGTAGTTTATTTGAACTTGAGATTCCAGATTAAAAGACTCCAGGTTCAAGTTTGGTCGGTGTCAGAAAACAGCTTAGTACTGTTTCATCGTACTTTGGGGTTTTTTCTGTGTAGAGAGTGATCGTTGATTTTTTTTTTCCAATAATCTTTATTTTTTTGGCTTTTTAAATGGGGTGTCCCCATTTCTGCCAGACACCAGCTGTTGTGTCTGTTGTCCTTGTTGCAGTGTGACGGCACATATGCAGCACTGCCTCTGTTTCCTCTCCGGAGCAGGCCTCCAGGTTTGTTCATTCAGTGAGCAGTCGAAAGAAAAATGGTAAATGGACTTGAGCTTGTAATGTTCTTTTCTAGTTTTCTGACGACTCAAAGCTCCTTTTACACCGCAGGTCACACCTACACATTCACACACACATTCACACACACTGATGGTAGAGGATGCTGTGTGTAGAGTCCATCAGAAGTAACTAATCCATTCATACACCGCAGAAGCAGCGGGAGCAACTTGGGGTTAAGAGTCTTTTTACGATAAGATAAGATATACTTTCGTGTCCCAAAAGGGGGACATATTGTCATATTGCCCTTTGGCACATCGTCCTACATTACCTCTTATTCAGAATATTTAATGGACATCGGCATAAATGAATGTGGTTAGCGGTTAAGCCTGGTGTGAGGGACCCTGAATCTTCTCCCAGAGGGACTTGCCCAAGGGCACATCGGACATGTGGCTGCAGGAGTTGGGGATCGATCCCCCAACCTTCCAGTTGGGAGGTCGATGACTGACTCTACCAACTGAGCCACAGCTGCCCCCATAACCTGGAAGGCTGCCTACAGAAAAATGGGACAACAACACAATCAGAGGTTTTGAATACCGACGACACTTTTAGATCTCAAAAAGAAACATAACAAGTTGACCAGGGACGCTTGATTAAAGGGACATCGAACGTTTTAGATTCATCCAACTTTATTTTCCAAAGCAAACACATTATATGGTTCCTGATTGGATGTTTGTCGCAGCAATGCTTTGTGGGATCTGTAGTCGACTTGTGTTATAAAGCTGTTATGGACAGTTTTGACTTTCTATGTTCTCGGTGGGAGGTCAACAGAAAGTTTAAGCATCGAAGAAGATTAACGGGAACTTTGAAGAAGTTCTTACTTTAATTCCAAAGGCCCAGAGAGGGATTGTGGGTGGTCTAAGGTTCAAGGAGTTGAGGAGGACCAGAGTCCCTGCTGCCAGTCTGTGGAGTTCAGAGGTCGTGCGGTTTATCGATTTGATCCAGCAGAGTGGAGAGAACGGATGAGGGCGAGAGAAATCGATTAAACTGACTCAGACACTTCCAGCTCCCCCTGGTCGCACATGTTTCATTTAGAAAGATTTATTTTACATGTTTTATCCTCCTCTGGTGCACAGAGCTCCGAGTTTACCTGTCAGTCATGTTAACAGTGTGCACGTTGATGTTGTTTGTCTCTTTGTTCCGCTGGCTTTGGTTCACTGCTCATGTGAACCACACAGCTCCCGGGTCTTTGGCACGTCAATCTAACGGAAACGAGACAGCGAGTCCTCTCCTCTGAAGCAATTTGAACTCTGAAACTCCTTCTTACTGCATTTAATGCTCGTCTTTGAGCTAAAAACGACCCTGTGACTCTTTATATGGAGATAATGCAGAAAGTCAGCCAGTAACCATTACATGTCTGCTGTTTTAATAACAGACGGTCATTGAAGTGGAGGAGCAGCCATATAGAAAACTTGGTAACTATGGTAACTAATCAGATGATGTGGGAGGAAGCAGGAACATGGTGCTGGATGTATCAGAGTTACTAAATCTTGATGTATGAATGACTAACAGTTGGTATTGATCCAGTAGATTCAGTCAGCTGGAGGTCATAAAGCGGGTGTAATGGCTGATACATAATCTTCAATGACAAATTCACAGGTCAAAGTGGATGAAGTTCACTACGGGCTCAGATTGTTATTTTAAGGCTGCACTGTGCTAACTCTGATACGGCTCTGGACCGTTGTCGTGTGCAGGAGACTCTGGAGGAGAGAGCCTCAACTTCAAACCACGTTCTTTATCTCAGAAGTGTCGTTGCTGCTTCTTGAGTCGTCCCTCGTGAGTGTTTGTGTGAGCCGGAGACGGCACCAAGGTGTCAGTGGGCGTGTCTTACCACACCAAACCCACACCAGCCCTGTACACTCTGATACTTTGAGGCCTTAAAGGCAATTTTTTGAAAGTCCTGGGTCGATGCACTGTAGCTGAAACGGTGGTTTAGTTACCCTTGAAGGTAGCTGTAGACAAACAACTCCCAAGTTCTGCATGTTTCAACTCTTCTTATTATTGGAACGGAGGTTCTGACTGAAACAGTTACTTCACCTCTTTTTGACCCCTGAACATATAAGAAGTACAACATTGTCTTTAATTAAATTCACATTTAAAGCACAGTATACAAATTCCTCCACCAGGGGGCTCTCAATCTAAACAATAACATTGAGATGTCGAGACTGGCGGGGAATCATGGGAGGGATCCTCTCTGGGTGGATCCGTCAAATCCTGTTTTTCTTTAGTTCCATAATTAAGACGTGCTTATCCATCTCTGTAATTTAAACATTGCTGACGCGATCACCACACATAGTTTTCACCGTTCATGTTGCAGTTTAATGAACAACATGTTCTATTTTATCTTCTTTCTATTTATTTCTACATTAAGTGTTCTCTGCATGTCTGATAATCGCCTCCGAGCGGGCAGAGAGCGGTGATTCAGACGTTCGGTGACCTCGTCTCTGCTGAGGTATTTGTTTTTGAATGTTTCAGAGAAGCAGAGTGGACGCTTCTCGATGTGAAAATGTCACCGATTATTACCGCAGTGCCCGGTTTAGAGCCACATAATGATTCTAATAACCGACATGTACTGTGACAAATGTCAAGCTTAATGTGCCTTTATGATTTTCATCCCGGGTTGAATCAAAAACACGCGGCTTTCTGTTCAGACAGCAGCTCTCGCGTTGAGGTGTCAGAGGAGTCATTACGAGCAAAGACAAAGCTTGCCGAGCGAGATTACGGGAGCACAAATGTGTTTTTAGTGGAGACGAGTCGCTCTTATTGTCCTCGACGGGCTCATGTAGCTCTGACATCACATCAGACAGGAACATGAATGTTTCATAACATCACTTATATTTCACTTTGTCTCTCCTTTTCTTCTGCTGAATCTCATTTTCTATAAACACAAAGAGATCGACTCTCTTGACATGATCAAATACTTCCCAAGGTTTTGGTTTAGTAGAAGAACAACCCGGGCTCGTCCCCTCTTTTGAAAGAAGCCTTTATTGCACACCAGATTTGCGTTTCCATAAGTGTGTGACATCACTTGAAAGTTATGAATTACTGCCCCAGGTTTAACATTGTGTTACAAAGACCACAGCTGATTATTTAGCTGGTTCTGCCACGACCACCAAAAACGACTTTAACCCTTCGATATCTCACACCTCCGCACAGATCAGTTCACAGCTCTGTGATGTGATCGAGAGTTGGAGCGGTTCCTCGATCTGCTCCGACAACATGATCAATGAGAGCAGCTGAATGTCGCCCAGAAGACATTTCATTTGTAACCTGGGACATAAAAGAGCCCCCAGACGGCCATATTGGTCCCCAACAACCCACCACTCCCCACCCCACCCCCGCTGCTCACGGCACTGCTTGCTTCCGCAGGGGACCCCACAGGGAAATCACCCTTCAAACAGCTCCATCTCCTGTGAAATATGTATACAGTGTGGGGTAATGAAGAGGTGCATATGCGCAGTGGCATTTTAAAGCGCCGCCTGCAGACCTTCAGTACAAAGTAAAATATAGTCCCGGGCGTCAAGGCTTTGATAGAGATGGATGGAGCCATTGTAGCCGTAATAGGATAAAGGTATTGCATGTTGACATTTGTGTAGCGGCGCATGAGTCACGACGGGCGAGTTCTCAGAAGTACACAATGAAAAAGAGACTCGGGAGTTTCAGGAGGCAGGTTGATTGCTCTTTTTATGCGCCTGTTTTATGCTTTGTTACCTGACAAACAACATGCAGCCGGGAGAGGAAGGGAAAGAAGCTGCATGTGTGCAAACCAAGGAGAATCCTCCAGAGCTGGAAAATGAAGCAAAACTGGGAAGTTTAAAAACTGCAGTTCCTTGAGTGGCCACTTGAGGCTGACTCCTACAGCGAGTCAATCCCCATAGCGCCCCATTTTAATTTACCAAACTTTACAGCAGAGTGGAACATGTTTTAAACCTCATTAACTCATTTCACATCATTTACAGGGGTTGCAAAGTAGCCATTGATAGAAGCCTGTATGCATGACATCTACTTTGTATTTTAAATATGAGGCTCTTTGCATGTGTTCCTGTTAGATAAACAAATTTGTCACATGAGAAAAATGCAAGTAGTACTTCTTGTCCCTCAGCATGGCTCAGACTTTGACGTTGGGCTTCTCAAAATAATTTAATTTCATGTTTGTCTTTCAGGTCTGGTGAAGCTGGGAATCCACTGTGTCACATGTCAGAAAGTCGCCATAAAGATCGTCAACAGAGAAAAGCTCAGCGAGTCGGTGCTCATGAAGGTAAGATTGGCCTCTTTTAACCTTGAACCCGTGAAGTTTCTTGTTCTAAATCCACTCTGATCCTGTATTTGATCCTGTCTATAAACCCCTCTATTTCAGCCCTGCTCAGAACAGACTGTTTCTGTGTCTGTACCTTTAAATGTAAATGAGCTGTGTCTGACCACGCCCCCTCTCTAGAAGGGCTTGGGTGTCTTGGGCTTTCTCGCTCCATGTCCTATTGTTTACGGTGAGAAGGCAGACTCAGAGGGCAGAACAAACACCTAGCTGTGGGAGTGTCACCCACCTGGGGGAGGGGCTACTGCCCTTTGTGATGTCATGAAGGGGAAATCTCCAAACGGCCTGTTTGAGCACACATTTTCTGAAAAGTGGAGCGGCAAAAGATGGAGAGGATGGACTTTTCTCATCATTGGGGGGTTTGTAGACAGACTAGAGACACGTGATAGAGTTATAGAAACATGGTGAAGTGGATTTTACAGAATATGTCACCTTTAAGGATAAACTCATTAATAAAAAATGTTTCCGTTCCACGTCTTTGAAGAGTATTATAAGAATAGCGGTGTCGATTGAATAACCTATTTACTGGATTTTAGGTTCTTTCTTCAATCACACATCTTATCCCAGAGATCACCAGATTAGCTTTTCCACTCTCATGACACCAGGATGCAGTGCAGGTGCAGTTTTTGACGTTGCAGTCCTGCTGTCACTGTTTCACCCACACACTAAACACAGCACAGGTGTCACACGGTGGACAACGCTCCTGCTCTTTGTTGCCTTTTGTCATTACTGTCACCACTCCTCCGTCCTCCCACTCGAAAACAAACAGCTGCATGCGGCAACATCTGACATGATGACGCACATGTTTCACCGTCAGCTTGCTGTGAGGTTGACTCATGTTCAGCAGTCAGTGGCTGCTTTTCATTACGCTTACTTATCCACCCTCACATCCTCTCTCCTCTCGTGACCTGCACGATGCTCCCCCCTCTGCCATCATAAAGCATCTTCCACTAACTTCAATACACCTCAAGGAGACGAGGAGGCTTTTGGAGGACCTCAGGGTACACATGCCTCTCCTACACAGAGTCTTTTCTCAAGCGCTGTGCCGTATGAATGCTGCACTCTCACACGTGACACTCAGTTTGACGTCACTTTTGACTGACGCTGTGAATCAAAGGATTGCTCATTTGGCAGCTTGTACTCCTCCGCCTGCATGTCTCACATCATCGCTTGAAGAAGAGAGGATGTGAGGAAGAGACACGACATAACATAATGAAGAGAACAAATGTATATTCTGCTTGAAGTGTGAGGTGAAGTTTGTGTGGAGCGGAGATAATTACTTTGATTATAAAGATAATAAATGCTTTGTTTAAGCCAAATTAAACATCTCCCCACTTTCTATTCAGACAGATTGATTGTGTGATCACTAGGGGCCTGGGAAAAAATCAGAAAGTCAGAATCAGAAATGTAACCAACATGTTTGTACATTTACGATATGAGACAGGGGTTGACATTAAGTTCATTTTGCCAATGGCCCGGAGGACCAGGAACATTACTTTTGATTCGAAGAATAACAGTCACCAGTTTACTCTTGAACCATTCAAAGTAAATTAAAACTTGTATTTAATTAATTGAGCAGTAGTTATATCAAATATTGTGTATTTTTCTTATATTTATTCCTCATGTTTATTCACCATGCTGTTAACTGTAAGAGTCTATTTGATATTAATATGAGGCTGTGATAGAGCTGGAGTTGTTATGATCACTTTTCTCTCCTTCTTTCTTCTCTGTGAGAAACTCTTCATCCTTAGATCTTTACTTTAGGAGCTCTCTTAAGGGCTAAGATGCTTTGTGAATAACTTTTATCTTTACCAGGATCCAGTGTTTAACTTTAAGGGAAATTTAACTGCAGTGTGTTCCAGCTCCTCCAGCTGTCTGCCACTGTGGCTGAAACTTTTCTCCCTTCTGTTTTCGTCATGCCCTGCTGTCACTCTCGACTCTTCCTGGTTTTAAAACCGTTTTACCAAACGTGTTATTTATTAGAGAAAACCTGCGTTAAAATCTGTGTGCGAGTGCACAATTCGAGAGTAGCGAGCGCGCTTGCGGGAGTAACAGCAGTGAAGCCGTCGGCTGCCTTTCAACTGGGACACACATGCACGCGCACGAGCACTTATGATATGTTGATGCTGTAGCAGTTATTAGCACGACGTTTAAAAAAAAACATACTGACAAAACACCGGTATGACAGGAGAGCGCTGTGAAATTGAAAACGTGTTACTGTGTAATTTTGTTTTAGGCAGTATTTTAACTGGCTGAGCGGGCCAACTGAACGTGCAATCAGCTGGCCCGGACTCTGTCAATCATTCATCCGGGCCAGCGGGCCAGTTATTATGTGGAGTCCTGTGATACACTTTTTTGTCCCCTTGGGGAAATTTGTCTTGGACTCACAGTGCTGCCAAACATTCAGCTGCTTCCACTCAATCAATCAATAACAACGATAGAAAAACCCCCATCCGCAATTAAGACAGTGTGCCGCAAAAGATTTGTAGTTTTATCAAAGGAAGAATGTGTGACTTTTTGATCCAGTAGATGAAACTCCAGCATGAAACCAAAACAAACTGCTGTTAGGCCACACCTCCTCCATACTGAAGCCTCCGCTCTCCTCCAGAGACACACCTCCAACCCCCCTCCACTCGAGTTCACATGAAGGAGTTTAAGTTAAGATAACACTTTACTCTCCGTTGGTGTGGAAATTTGTCTTGCATTTCAAGCTCAGAAATCCTCGCATCCCAATCAAATCACTTCACACTCAAAAGACAGAACGTAAAAATGTAAAAAAAAGACCTTTGCTCGAGCTACAATCACCTGTGTCCTGCATTGTTGTGTTAGCATGCTAATGTTAGCGCTCTTTAGTTAGCTCGTAGCTTCACATCTGCTGTAAACTGACACAGAATGAGAGTGATCTAAAAACTCTTACTAACATCCAAATAATCAGTGAGTATGTTCTTCTTCTTCTCTCTAGTTCTTGACTAAAACAGCTTTAAACACAATCCCGTCCCGAGATTGTGTTTTAAGACATGTGGTCTAAACATTGGTGATTTGGACGACCTGTAACTTGTATATCAGTCCGCTCTGACTCAGTTTTACAAAGTTTACAGCCTGACCTTGAATGTCAGCGCTTGTTGTCTCGGCTGTATTCAGTGATTCACAACACCATCACCTCATTGGACAGAATAGAGACTTATTCTGCTCTATAAGGAAAGAAAGGAATGTTTTCAGTGCAGGGAAAAGGAGGCAGAAATCTGTAAAATGTCTTGTAGTATTAGACAGAATTAGCGGCAGTTAACGCCTCCCTTTTTCTGTCAAACAACAACTCTGCTGTAAGTGTCAGAAACCTTCTTCTCCCAGTTTGTGTTCGCCTCTTTCACAACATGTCAGAAGGCGGCCCGAGTCTCTAAGTACAGATTTGTCAGAATCTGTTGTAATTTTCTGCTTTATCATTTCATTACTCTGTCAAACACACACTGAAACACACACTTATACACACACTTATACACACACACTTAGACACACTTATACACACACTTAGACACACACTTATACACACACTGAAACACACACTTATACACACACACAGACACACTTATACACACACTTATACACACACACAGACACACTTATACACACACTTATACACACACACAGACACACACTTATACACACACTTATACACACACTTATACACACACACAAGAAGGAGTAAAAGCATTTCTGTGTCATTTTCAGTTTGACTCAATTACTGTCATATAAGGACATCATTGATGAGACAGGTTCTTTAAAGGCAGTTTATTGAACAGTGAAGACACACACACACACACACACACACACACACACACACACACACACACACACACACACACACACACACTCACAATGAAGCAATAACTCTTGTACTGTATCTCAACACTCAAAGTCTGTACATCACACCTCAGTTCTTCTAACCACATCTTAAGTACTCGGCACTTATGTTTTTATTTATTTTTTTATTTTTTTATTACCACTGTAACATTTGCTGCTTTGCTAAAGTGCTCATGATGGATAGGCCGGATCTTTGTAACATAACAATGAATAAGGTCTTTTACCTGCTTTTTGTAAAGTGTCTTGAGATAACACTTGTTATGAGTTGACGCTATACAAAATAAATTGAATTGAATTGAATTGAATTACGTGTGTGTGTGTGTGTGTGTGCGCGCGCTTGTGTGTGTGTGTTTTGAGGCTCATTTGGTCAAACTGATTGCTGCTGTCGTGTTGTTTTCCTGCTGATGACTGGCGTTGCTTCCTAACGAGCAGAGTGAGTGAAGTACATCGCTCTAGTCAGTTAATGCTGGCGGCTAATTGGTTGATGTTTCTGTTTGTGTGTGTGTGTGTGTGTGTGTGTGTGTGTGTGTGTGTGTTTGTAGGACAGTAACAGCTCATGAATGTTGTCAGGATGACTTTAAAGTCGGTCTACAAGGTGTGAAAGACATCATTTGCACCTAAAGGTCAGAGAAACAAGCTCGATGCTGATTGGTTGCTGGCTTGTTTTGCCCCAAGTGTTGATTGGGGGAAGTATCACGTTAATCCCTAAAAATAGCTTTGATGGTTTTAGAAAATCCCGAGCAGTTAGACAGATTGAAAACCCACCTGAGGGTTAAACACTCCGAGTAGAAAAGAAAGCAGCGTATCGACATTTCTCCTCTAAGTGAAAATGTAAAGTATCTATGTACGCTTGAAAAAGTTCTGCAAAGCATGCTGGGATTTCAGCGGCTGGCTTGGTTGAACATCTCCAAATCTTTTGCCTGTGTGTAAAAAATATTTTTTTCTGTAGTGTAGTGTCATGTCAGCCCCAAAACACCGGTGTATTGTTAGTTTCTCTCTCCCACGTCCATCAGATAATTACCCAGCAGCCTCTTGTGTTTCTAATTGGCTGTGAATGAAGGAGATGAAGGTCGCAGATGTTTCTGTTT